TTTGATCTTATTTCAGCTGCCAGGCTCCAGATGGTAATTAAGGAGCTGGATGAAAGTCCTGGCTTTTTCCTGTGTTTAATTTTATTGGCGAGGGTTTGGAATAAAATGTGTGTGTCATGAAACTCGTAATTTCCATGACTTACAGATTTATCCTGCCAGCATCTTGGAATCTGGCAATAAGCACCCTTGGAAAAGCCAAGAAAAAGCCTGAATTGTTACAAGGCTGGGCTGATAGCCCAAATTTTCTTCTATGTTTTCATTTATTGAAAGAAAAGAACCTGAAATAGCAATTTCCATGCTGAAATAAGGCAGTTCAGTGCTGAATACAGACATCTTCTTTTCAAAAGAAATTTCTTCATTGAATTATACGTGTGTTCCAGTTTTTGTTAGATATTTCCTGCTTTTGAAGGGAATATCCTCAATTGTTACCCAGATGTGAGCTCTATCCATGGATGTCAGTGTGGGAAAAGCTGTCCCTGTTCTTGAATCCCAAGGGCTGGCTGGCTGTGCAGCAGACACTCTGGTATGTCCTAAAGCCAAAAAGATTATTCATTCACCTTGACACCGGGAGGAAAAATACGGGGCTATCATAGAACATTGTGAGTTGGAAGGGACCCACAAGGATCATCGAGTCCAACTCCTGTCCCTGCACAGGACAATCCCAACATTCAGACCATGTCCCTGAGGGCCTTGGCCAAATGCTGCTGGAATCTTGTCAGACTTGGTGCCATGAGCACCTCCCTGGGGAGCCTGTTCCAGTGTTTCACCACCCTCTGGGTGAAGAACCTTTTCCTAATGTCCAACCTAAACCTCCCTGGCACATCCTCCTGCCATTTCCTCTGGTCCTGTTGTTAGATATTACCAGGATGAATGAACATTTTCACATTTCTCATTGCTGTAAGACCATCAGCCAATATATGTTTCATGGCACAATTTTTGTTCCAGGTTCTCCATGGACTTTTCTTTATGTTACCTAGACTATGGACAGATGTCTTCTGGATCATAGAATCATAGAATGGTTTGGATTGGAAGGGACCTTAAAGATCATCCAGTTCCAACCCCCCTGCCATCAGCAGGGACACCTTCCACTAGACCAGGTTGCTCAAAGCCTCATCCAACCTGGCCTTGAACACTTCCAGGGAGGGAGCATCTACAACTTCCTTGGGCAACCTGTTCCAGTCAAAGCGAGCAGAAGATATTTGATGCCAAACAAAAGAGATGTGAGCACAGCAGAGCATCTCATGTCCATGTCCATGCCCAGGGCAGACCTGCCTCCGCTTCGTGCCCTGCTGTGAGGGATCTCCATCCACCTTGGGAAACAGAGCCGGCATTAGAAAACTGCTGCATTACTAGCTGCCAGGGCTGCCTCCCATGTCTCCCAAGCTTGGAGAAATGAGCAGTTGTCCCTTTTTGTGTGGGCTACCCAAGGATGGCTACAGAAGAGATCTTGAGTCTAGCTTGAGCAGGTCTGAATGGGACGGAGCTGTTTGCACCAGCGGTGGGACGAGGAGGGTCCTGGGGAAGACCAGGAGTGTGGCGTGCTGGGCTCCAAGCATCAGCCATGTTAGAGGACTGAGCTGGGCTGTAGGCCCAGAAGCTTGAGGGGTCCGTTATCTATGAGGTAGCAACATGGGGAGCCTGGACATAGGGAACGTGCTGGAAGGACCAAAGGGTCCACAGCCTGCGTGGCCCCAGAGGCAGCAAAATGCTTGAAAGCTGGAAGTGGCGCAGCACGCTGGTGAGCAGCCAGGCAGGGAATGTGAGCTGTGCTGCTGCACGCTCAGGCAGAGGGCCCAGTCCTCTGCCTGCTTTTGATTTATTTGAGAGGAAGATTCTGAAATATGGCCAAGGAGTGCTGCAAGAAAAGCTGTTAAATGATGATTTATTTATTTATTTAAATTTTTTTTAAGTTGCTAGTCCTTCATTCTCAGTTGAATGACGTGAAGCCTTGAGCTCATCCTGGAAACTTCCTTCTTTTGCAGCAGCTGTCACA